GACTCCCCTGCCCCCGCCCGCCCCGGCCCTCGCAGTGGGCCGCCCCGCCGCACCCCACGGCGCGCGCGCTCCGCTCTGCTCCGCCCCCCGCCCCCTCGCAGATCCGAGGGGCCCTCTTGGGACGCCCCTTGGGCGCCTCTTGGGGCCTCTTGGAGGCCTCTTGGGCCGTCTTGGGCGGTCTGGGGCTCCCTTGGAGCGCTCTTGGGCCGTCTTGGAGGTATCGTGGGCCGTCTTGGACCCCCCTTGGACCGTCTTGAGAGCCCAAGACGGCCCAAGAAGCGCCCAAGAGGCCTCCAAGGGCTCGAGTCGGGCCGGACGAAAGGGGGGGATAGGGAAAGGGGGGGTTACGAAATCTGCTGCGTGCAGCTGGTTTCGGCCCCACCGAGGGGCCCATTCCTCGATGCATGGGCGCCTCCGGCGCCGGGAAAGGTTGGAGGTGGATAGACCTCCTGCCCTGACACGTCGATTCAGGAATTGGCCGTTTTCGGTTCGCGAGAGGGCGTCGCGGCCGTCATTTTTTCGTGCCCAGGTCCGTCGGTTTCGGTCGCAGGCCGCTTTCACTAAGGGGAGGTTTACTAAAGTGAGGTTTGTCCACCGCCGAAAAGAGGGGGAGTACGAAACTTGCTGCATGTATAGCTGGTTTCGGCCCCCCACCGAAGGGCCCACTCCTCGATACATATGGGCGCCTCCGGGGCGCCGGGAGGCGCCGGGAAAATCAGCTATACGACTCTCGAGTCCCCCCTTTGCTATCCCGGCCCCCCGTTCGCCCAGCCCGATCGAGTGCTTGGGGGCCCATTCCTCGATACATGGGCGCCTCCGGCGGTGGGAGGCGCCCGGAAAAACAGCTATACGCGAGCTGACTCTCGAGCCCCCTCCTTTGCTGTGTCCCCCCCGTCGCCCGGCCCGATCGAGCGCCTGACGGAGCGCAGCGCGGAGGGGCGCAGCGCGGGGGACTTTGCATGCCTCGCTGCGCAGAGGCGCGCGCAGCTCCCGGACTGATCGGCGCCTTCCCGGGCGCCCGCGGATGCGCGGGGCGCCTGCTGTCCGCTCGCCAAAAACAGCTTGACGGAGCGCGCTCCCAGAGCGCCCCTTGGCCCCGACGGCGCCCCCGTTGTGCTCGGGGGCGGGTCGCGCGCGGGGCCCGCCGCGCCGCTGGCGCCCCGAGCGTCGCGCTGCACTGCCGCGCGCTCGGCGTGGGCGCCGCGCCGTGCCCCCGGGCTCCAGCGGCGCGAGGGCTGCACTTTTGTCGGGCCGGACGAAGGGGGGGATTGGGGAAGGGGGTGGTTACGAAAGTTGCTGCATGCGGCTGGTTTCGGCTCCACCGAGGGGCCCCTTCCTGGATGCATAGCCGCCTGCGGCGCCGGGAGGCGCCGTGAAAATCAGCTGCGCGAGCTGATTCTCACCCCCCCCTTTGCTACCCCCCCCTTTCGCCCGACCCGATTTGGTGGAAGTCGATCAATGGAGAGGAAGCACCTTGCCAAACAACTTCCAGATGTCTAAAACATGTTTCAGACATTTTTTTTGGCTAGGTATGTAAAACACATGCTTGAAACATATTTGGGACGTGCTTTACACATTCTGAACGCATGCTCAATTGTGTCTGACCTGCGGTGGCTGCGTGAGAAATCTTGCGTGCCGCTCTTTTGGGCCCTCCCAGATCCGACTGCTGGGCCTGCCGCGTGGCGTGACCAGATGGCCGACCCCAAATGGGGCGAGCGCATCTCTCGGGTGTTTGTTGTAGAGTCTGTTGCAGACCCTCCCGAAAAGTGCGGCCCTGCACCGTTGAGGCCGCATGCATGTGATGTCTGCGGTGCATCCTTCCTGACGTACCGAGAACTCTCCTCCCATCAGACAGCGGTTCACAAGAAGCGCAAAGCATACAACGAGTACGTAGGCGATACAGCCACCTGCCCCGTGTGTAAACACTCGTACAGCAGCCGTCAGCACCTTTTGAAACACTTGTATCAGAAGCAATGCGGTGTTACGATCTTGAACGGGGATTACCCCAAGGCCCGTCTCCAAGAGCGTGAGCGTGCCGAGCAGAAGGATCGTGAGCTCTTGAAGCAGGCCCGCCACCAAGGCAGAACTTATCTTTTGGCCGGCGACCGGCTTCGGAGCTAAGCAGATAGTGCGCTATTTAGCGCCTTTTCTTTCCTGTCCAACTTGCGGCTTCCATTTCCTCGGGAAAAAAACGCATGCTCAATTCAACGATCGGATTGTCAGAGTGTCCATTGTCATGGCATCCACCAGGCTGAGTCTTCCCGTTAGCACGCCCACCAGCCTGGAATTGAGTCACGACGCTGGCGTACACCTTCTCATAACCACCGGGGCCGTGCACACACAGGTATTATTATGTCGGGCGTGTCCCCCTACATGGGCATTGTCGACGAAAACATGAAAAACAAAAGGCCAAACCATATTCAAAAAAAAAACCCCAGACTATGTTAGTTTTTTTTGTTGATTATTTTTGGTGTATTCTTTATATTTCGTCGAAAATCCCTCTGTCGGGGGACAGGCCCCACTTAAGGGATGGCCCGATGTCGGGGCCTCTCTCCGCGCTCGCCAAAGCTCCGGACATTTTCGCGGGGGAAGATGTCGCCCCTAGGCCCACGACCGAGCCGGGAGCTCTTGCCGGAGACCGTGGTCTGGAAGCGGGCAGCCTCCTCGTCGAGCTCTCGATTGCACTCCGCCTTCAGATTCCAGTTAGCTGGCCGCTCCAAGGTTCGGATGCAACTCCTGGGAGGTCCAATTCTGATTTAGCCCTGGTGCGAAATCCGACTTAATCCCGCTCAATCCGGCATCCCGCTTTATCCGGCTTAGTCCAGCTTGATCCGAGGCCCACTGTGGCGTAACAGACCCCCAATGGGGTTTAATCCTCCTTAATCCTTCCGACGAAAACCTCCCAGCAGCTGCCTCCCAACCAAGAAGACCGCTGCAGTGCTCAACGGTTTTTTTTCCCGTGGGAGGGTTCCGACGGGACGTGCAGCCGCTCTGCAGGCGCGCAGTGCGCGGCCGCCAGGGCGCCTCTCCCGACATATCTCGGCTGTGCTCCTGACGGAGGTTCTTGTTATCGTTCGGACGTGTGTGTTTTTTTTGCGGGGATTACAAAGGAGCAAAGGAGCATCCTGGATCATCCTGCGAAAAAGCGTCGCACGAAACCGAGCAAAACACGGGGAATGGACGTCCGAGCGACGGGGAGGGTTGCGCTGCGAGGCTTCGGGGGCCCACTCTTGGAGTTCGTCGCGAGTGCGCACGAACTGCAGGTCTCTCGATTTTGGACAGGTCAAGTCGGCCCCCCACAGCCGCATGCTCTGCGCTTCGGCGCCCCGAGTCTGTCGGGCAGCACATTCCCCCTTCATCAGAGATTTGAGGAAGGAGCGAACGAGGATCCAGGCTGTCGCTCGGCGCCCCTGGAATGCAGCCTCGTCTGCAGATCCCCAGAGCTTGAAGCGAGCGGCTATCCCACCCTGTCGGCCCAGATCAGGATCTGCTGCCGGGCCTCCTAGTTTCGAGTGGCGAGCGCGCGCTTGTTTCTCTGTTGTGGCCGAGGAGCTTCGAATGAGCCTCGACGGCGACGACGAGCGTTGCACGGCATGGCGCGAGCACCTGGCTTGGAAGCAGCCTGTCACCAAACGAACGTTTGATGACTACGGTAAGTTGTTAGACATCTCTGTTGCCGCCCCCGCGATCTGAACCAGCGTCAAGGCATGGCGAGGAATCGTACTTAGGCGCGCTCTTAGGCCCACCCCGCCCATCACCAAGACGGATATTCAAAATGTGGTTTCTGTATGCTTGGACGGTGGAGAAGAACAAAGCCCTCGTACGCCTTAGCAGGTCACTTGAACACCTCGCGCAACATTTGGCCTTGTAACGCTCGTTTGAGGGAGGTGCCAACGCACGCATAGTGCGCAAGCCTGCCTCTCCTCGTGTATTCCTTCGCGCGCGGCGATGTTCCCCAGAAGCTTCAACTTTGCTGTCTGTCTCCCATTCCCACAGGCCGTAGTTCAGCGTTGCTTTGCATTGAGATGTCGCGGTTGGCGCCGAATTCCTATCATCTCAAACATAGGCGTTGCTCCCGTGCTGGAATGCTCGAATGTGTCCGCGCTTGCCTGCGAGGCCACGAACTGCGCGTTTTTGTTTATGGGCGCGAAGGGGGTTGGGCAGCAGCGCCAGCTCGCGAGTTCTCGCGTGTCACTTCCAACTGCTGCAGTCGGACCTGCAGGAGCACGCTCTCTCTCAAGGTAAGCGTATGTGTTTGCCTATTAGATGTTCCTTTCACTTGAGGCGAGTTCCCTCCTCCGTCTCCCCCTCCTTACTTTTAACGCGGCGCCCCTGATTGAAGGAACGCTCAATGATGGACCCAAACGCCGCGCAGCTCATGCAGAGAATCCTAGGTTCCGCCTGGACCCATCATTACAGGAAAGTCTGAGGATGCCGTCCTCCAGCAGTACCTGTTGCTGCCCCCTCCCGTCGCTATCCTTCCCCCGTTCCTCCTTCCTCCCCTCCCCCGCCCCCCACCGTTCCACCCTCCCCTTCCCTTCTCTTTCTCCCTCTCTTCCTCTTTTTCTGTTGTTTTTTTTGTTGTTGTTTTTTTTGTTTTCTCTCTCTCTCTCTCTCTCTCCGTCCTCCCCTGCCGCCCCTTCTAGTGTGGGGGGCCGCACTCTGCTGTCCGATCCCCGCCATCGGGCGTTCCTGGGACGGGCGGCCACCCCCTCCTCCCCCCTTGCCCCATCTTCGCTGTCCTTCTCGTTCCCTCCCCTCCTCCACCCCGTCTCCACCTCCCCTCCCACAGTCGGGGCGCCGAAGAAGGAACCCCGTTCTTTGGGAAGGGACTCGGTGTTCCTTGATTGTCTTACAGTTTGCCTTGGGTTTTCCTTAGGTCTTCAACGGGAAATCGAAGTTTAACTTGTGGGAAAAGGGGGCCTCGTTCCTTATTCAGGGTTCCTTAGGTCAGCGCCCCGAGTCTACCGCATCGCCCCCCCCCCCCCCCTGCAAGCGAGGAGCACCAGCCCGCGCCGAGAATGCACAGCCAGGGGAGCCGACCGCACCTGCGCGCGCGCACCCCCTGGCCGGCTGCCTCTCCCCTGTGGCTCAGGCGTCCGCCCGGCACCCTTCCTTCGTTGCTCCTCCTCCTCCTCCTCCTCCTCCTCCTCCGCCTCCTCTTCTCTTTCGCCGAGCGCGTTTCACTACTCGCAAAGTGCCTCCTCGCAAACGTCCGTTTGCTCTGGCGTAATTTATCGTGGATCCCTGGCGGGCGAGCCAGGCCACGTGTGCGAGGAGTTACTCTGCGAGCAGTGGAAGGCGCTCGTCGACTCTTGAGGCCCCCAGCGCGGTCGCATCCGTAACTTTCAGCAACTCCATGCAGATGCACACGTCTGTTCCCCCCCATCTCTCTTACCTTCCCTCCCCCCCTTCCTCCGCTGTGCCTTCCCACACCGCTCCGTAGCATGCAAGCTGGAGCCTTTTAGTGCGAGCACTGGGGGTCTGATGGTCTGACGGCCGGTTATGTTATGTCGGGCGTGTCCCCCTACAGGGGGATCTTCGACGAAATATGACAAATATTCAAAAATATTCCAAAAAGGTCAAAAATACTCGAAAACTAGTCCCCATATTATTTTTGGACAATGTTTTGATTATTTTTGGGGTATTTTTTATTTTCGTTGAAAATCCCCCTGTAGGGGGACAGGCCCGACTTGACGGTTATCGCGTGGGCAAGTGCTGCCTGGCAGACTTCCCGGCGCGGAGCCTGGGCCAGGTGCGCAAGGACGGGCGCGCGGGGCAGGAAGCGCGCGGACGTGTGGGCCACTGCGAGCTTGCTCGATTGGGGGGTCGCCAGGTGGAGGAAGCAACAGAGCTGTTGCCAGCCCGGACCCCAAACAGTCGGCCCTTGAACCCAATGTGACGGTGCCCGTGCTGCTTGCGCGTGGTGCAGTGTGCATGGCGAAATAAACAAGGTGGACCGTCTGCAATGCAAATCCATGGCACAAGATCGATCTGATGTGTTTACGTGCATGCGTATCCATTCAAAGAGACCCGAAAGGACCCCCTGGTGCTCGGAGCCCTCTGAGAGCCCCGAAACGGCACCGGAGGGGCCCACGGAGGGCCCCGAGATTGTATTAGAGCTCCCCAGGGGAGCCCCGAGACAGCCCAGAGGAGGCCCCGAGATGGCTAGAGACAGTTCTGAGATGACCCAAGACGGTTTTCGGATGGCCCAAGATGCTCCCAAGACAGCCCCAGAGGCCGCCAAGACGCCCCGGGACGGCTCCGAGGGGACACCTTCGAGGGCCCCACGAGGCCGAAATCGCAGATTCCCAAAGGGTGTCCTGCAGATTATGAGATCCTCGCGCTCTCAACCGTCTGGACCCCCAGGACGGCCCAAGTTGCCTCCAGAATCTCCCCAAGGCAGCCCAGGAGGGGCCCAATTGGGGGGTCCAAGAGGCCCCCCAGGACAGGCCGAGGGCCGGAGGCGCCCCCAAGAGAGCCCCATGATGACCTCCCCCAAGAGGGCCTGAAGGGCCAAGAGGGCCTGATGGGCCAAGAGGGCCAAGAGGGCCTGAAGGACCAAGAGGGCCTGAAGGCCCAAGAGGGCCAAGAGGGCCTGAGTGGATTTTGAACGTCTCGGCGGGAACGAAGAGCCCGGAGAGACGCGAGGAAGCCTCGTGTGAAAATCGCAGCGGAACGGTAAATTGCCCGTGCTTCCCAGCGATCGTGCGTATCGTCGGCTAGTGTTGCCGGCCTTCCCATGTGATTTCAACGCGTGCACAGTGTATATAAAAACCACCTCCTCACTCTCCCCCTCCTGAAGAGGGCTTGAAGAGGCGAACGTCATCGATTTCACGTTGGTTGTCGATCGCACGCCGCAGCCAGCTGCCATTTGGGCGCCAGAAACAGGCGTCGGCAAACTTCGACTTGCGCAGCTCCAAGGGTTTAATCCACGGGTCCGCGCGAGTGTGCGTGTGTGTCTCTATCTATAAGTACACAAGACTGCATTCGCGCTCCGCGCCATGCAGCTTGGTCCTTTGAATTTCGCATGCAGGTGGCGTGTATGTGTACATGAGTTCATGGGTGTGTTGCACATGTACGCACGAACACATGTGAATTCGATGTGGATTCGTGCTCCCCTTCCTGGGCCTTATGGAAGCCTTCTTGGGGCAACCTTGGGCCGTTTTGAAATCGCATGGGGCCGTTATGGCGCTTTTTGGGTCCTCGTGGTCGTGTTGGACCCCTCTTGGGGCGGTCGTGAGGGTTTTCGAGCCGTGTTGGAGCGTGTAAGCGTGGAAATGCGAGAACGGCGAGAAGCTTCAAACACCGACAGGGGAATGAACGATTTTCTCCGGTCTGAGCTCTCTTGAGAGCCTTCGTGTACCTGTCTTGGTGCCTTTTGGGCGCCTCTGAGTTTTGACCGTGTTGGGGTCGTATGGCGCTGTTTAGGGCCGTCGTGCGTCCCCCTTGAGTCGTTTTGGGCCCCTTTGGGGGCGATGTTGGGGGCGTCTTGGGCCGTCTTGAGGCCATCTTGGGTAGCTTGGAGCCCCCTCTTGGGCGGTCTTCGGGGCTGCTTGGATCGTGGAAGCGTGGGAGTGCGAGAACGCCGAGATCCTTCGAACACCATGCGACAATGCACCATGTTTCTGCTACTCGGGCTCTTTTAAGATCCCCCGTGGTCCTTTCTTGCTGCGCTTTGGGCGCTTTTTGGGCCGTCTGGAGGCCATCCTGGGCGTTTGGGAGTGCTTTCGAGCTGTCGACGAGCTGTCTTGAGCAGTATTTGATGTCTCTGGCCTATCGAGAAGGCTGGAAGGCCGAAGGGGACGCGTTGCAGGGGCGTCGGAGCAGCCGGGGGGCGTCCCAGCAGCCTGGGGAGACCGAAATTCGTTCGGGGGGGGGCGTTCTGTCTGGGGTCCCCGGCCTTACAAAATTTAGACATACAAATAATGAGTGTTTATGTGTGTGTGTGGCTCGAGTACTCATGAGGAATTTGAAGTCGTCAACCCCAGCGCTCCCGCAAACATCCTACCCTCCCACCCGCAGCTGGCTTGGTAAGTTCCATGCGGCCACGACTGCGGCTATTGACTGGCACTTGCTAGCGAGTCTCTACGGCCGCGCTGGCGCCCGTACGCTCGCGCGCAGGTCGACAAGCTGGCTTGGCACAAGGAATGCGGCTGCGATGACGCTCACGGATGGGAGCTCCCCAACGCGTCTCAAAGGCCGCGCTGGCGCGCGGGCGCTTCAGTGCGGGTCGGTGACTGGGGAGGGCGCGACATCATGATGACGTCCCCAACGACGGCAACGATGATGATAATAGTGCTGGTGGTGGCGGTGACGACGAGGACGACGGCAATGCCAACGACTGTTCCGATGCTGGTGACGATGACGGTGATGATGTGTCGGTGGGGTGGTGCAGGTGATTGTGATGAGAATGACGGCAATTGCCGGGATTAGCGATGACGATAACGGCGGTGGCGCGATGGAGCTCATGGTGGTAAAGGACTGAAAACTGCGCGCGCGTGAAAATCCAGTATAACTGGCAATCTGTTGTCGAAAACGGTAATGTCCCCCATTTGTTTTTGAACAGGTATATCTTGAAATGCGTCGGCAACCAACTGTTTCAGACGAGCTCAGGCCCGCGAGCTTGGTGGCGTGCGCACGTGGCCCGCATGATATATGTGATATGGATTTGTGCGTTTGGCGCCTGCAAGGTCAACGCGGATGCACCGCGTGGTGACGCAACGCGTGTTGAGATGAAAATGCGGGTATTGGGCGAGATTGCATTCATCATGGTATTTGTTTGTAATTCCAGCAAGTGTTCGCGGGCAGAAGATTTGCAATGTTGCGGATGACCAGCCCATGGGTTTCAATGCATTTGCACGATGAGTTGTTTACACAACGAATGTGTTTGGTCTGATGTCGGCACGTCCGCGCGCGTATGGGTGTTGCTTATGTGTTTTCTGTGAAACGGGCTCTTGCAACACGAATCTTTCGATACACAGAATGTACGCTCATTGTATCAGTTGACAGGGGTGACGAGGTGCGCCGATACTGGCAGGGTTGGGATGCTCTTATCCCATATGCAAATTGAACGATGGGGCAACAACACGTTTGCAAGTTGCAATACGGAATTAGGAACGGTTAAGCCCGTGCGCGGTGGCGTGGTGGATGCTTCATGTTTTTGCAGAAAAAATCACGTACGGTTCCTAGGTACCAGCCGTATATCCCCACCCATCGGGCACCAGGACAAGAACGCTAGATTGCGTCATTGAAGAAACCACACTGAAGTTCATAAGGCCCCAGCCACTCAGCGCTGCACATAGGGCAACACCATCAAACACAAGCAATCATAACATTCAAAGCAGCATAGGGCGCCAGCTATACAACGCCCTTCATATAGTATCAGTGCAAAGACGAGCAGTCGCAATACCCAAATCACCATATGGCGCAAGCCATCGAGTGCCCTCCGTATGGCACCAGAGCTAGAAGGAGCAATCGCAACAGTTACGGCATCACAGGCACCAGCCGTAGAGCACAGTCCATCGGGCACAAGGGCAAGACGGAACAATTGCAACATTCAAGGCGTCATATCCACTAGCTATACAGCGCCCCGATAGGGCACCAGGACAAGAACGACTGAACGCACCACCTGGAGTTTCAGAGAACATCAGCCGCAGAGCGCCACTCGTACGGCACATGTGCAGAACAACTAGCAATGATGACTTTCGTAGCATCATGAGGGGGCCATCCAGAGAGCGCCTTCAGAGGGCAGCAGGACAAGAACGAACAATCGCAACATCAAGGCATCATGGGAAACCAGCCACAGAGCGCCCCCATGGGCCCATGGGGCACCGGAACAAGACGAAGCTATCGCAACGCTCATGCCCAATTCCATGAAACACAGGTGCAATCGCGATACTAGCGCTTACTCTTGCGTTTGCAATCGCGGTGCTCGAGGCATCATGGGGCGCCAGCAATACATTGCCACCCACAGGGTACCAGGACAACAAGTAACAATCGCAACAATCGAGGCATCATATAGCACCTGCTGTAGAGCTGAGGCACCAGGAGCGGAGCGAGCAATTGCGAAGCTCACGGCATCATGGCGCACCGGCCATACAGCGCCCTTCATGGGCTACAACGACCAGAACGAGCAATCGCAATACTCAAGACACCATATGGCGTTACCCCCCGCAGGGCATCAGGGCAAGAACGAGCAGTCGCGAAGTTCAGGGCATCACATCGCGCCGGCAATACATCACCACCCATAGGGCACCAGGACACTAGCGAGCAACCGCAACAATCAAGGCGTCATGGGGCACCAGGGCACCAGCTTTCATCGCGCCACCCGTAGGGCACTTGGGCAAGACCAAGGAATCGCAACTGTCAGCGTAGGGCGCCTTAACGAGAGGTCGCAATATCCAAGGCACCACAGCGGACTAGCCATAGAACAACACCACCCATGGGGCACGAGGGCAGGAGGGAGCAATCGCAACACGAACGGAATCACAGGGCACCAGTCACACAGCACCACCCATAGAGCATCAGGACAAGAACGAGCAATCGCAACACTCATGTCCAATTCCTCTATACCCCCTCCCCATTTGCTCTCCCCATCGCCCCCTGCCAGGAGCAAGAATCAGCCCCGTCGAGAGAGAAGGGGGCATGGCGCACGGAGGTGAAGCAGGCCGACACCGCGGAGGCCGCCAGGGCGGGTTAGAAGGGCAAGTTGGAGGACGACGATGAGCAGGAACGGGAGGAGGAGGAGGAGGAGGAGGAGGAGGAGGAGGAGGAGGAGGAGGAGGGGGAGGGGGAGGACGACGAGGAGCAGGAGCGAAGATCAGCCAGATGGGCCTGGGGGGCCTCCCTCCTCGCAGTGCTGCTGGGTGCCGAAGCCCGCCCCGCCCGAGCCGGGCCGGGCCTCCCGCGGGCAGGGGCGCACCGGACGCGGGCGCCCTGACGGGGGTTGCCGTGGCGGCGCGGCTCGCGTCCGGACCGGGCGGGTGGCGCGGGCACGCCCGGCAGGAGTTTCCGCGCTCCCGACGGGCGTCCAGCGACCACCCTTTACCAGCCTTTGAACGTATCCCTATCCCTGAGGTGTGACACGCCAAAAGGCGATGACAGTCTTAGCGATTCGCCCTGAAGAGTAAGGGAATCCCTAAGATTGGCATCGTGATGAGGAGGTGCCCAGCATAGGGACAGGGATATGTTCCAGGCTGGCAAGCCCTCCCAGATTTGCCTGTGGCAGCAGGGGCTCGCCGAGTCGCTGGCAGACCGTCGGCGGCCCGATAGAGATCCTTTTTTAAAAGTCTTCTGCCAAGCTGCCGGGAGGAGCCCGCGGCCCGTGGGGATTGGTGGCATGCGCTTGAGAGTATGTACTTCAGATTTCGTAATAAAAGGGAGGGGGTCTCATTTCGGGGGGGGTCTCTTCCAGGCTATCTTGGAGGGCCTGGGGGGGGTCTGGGGACGATGTTTTGGAGGGTTCTCCCACGAGGGGGGGTCTGAAATGGCTTGTCTTGGAGGGTCCAGACCCCCTCCCTTTTATTACGAAATCTGGAGTACATGAGGACAGAACCATATCACACAACACAGGCATAAGCTTCCGGACGCCTGCGCGGGTTTCCCGGGTCGGCGCTGGGCCCCGCTCCCCCGCACCCTCGGCCAGAGGTAGCGGGCCTGTTGATATCGACCCTTCGGTTTCGCACGTCGTATCCGAACCCAGGCCCCCTCGAGTCATGAAAAAATCACGACGGGAGGTTTTTCCTTATTTTTGGCCTCCGGGGGCCCTTACCGGCCCTCGGGAGCGTCAAAAAACGACTCGGGACGAAAAACCGGTCCTGGGGAATGGGTCCAGACCGCTGGGGGTCGACGTCATGAAAAATTCATGACGTCGGGGGTCTGGGAACCCAGGTTATCGCTCGGCGTTGCAAGTTTGATCCGAGCCCAGTGTGCATGCTCTGTGTCCATTTTGGCTCAAGGGTGAAACATTTGGCCCTTCTCCTGGTGCCACTGTTGGTGGCGGAGCGGGTTCCGCTCGGGGCCATGGACGACGGCTGGGTTTGGTAGCCAGCAGGACCTGCTGGGCGGCCGACCGTTGCTGTGCGACCGAGTGTCCAGGCGAGCCTCGCTCCCTCGAGCTAGGTAGTGTGGGATGCACGGCAGACGTATGCCATCCGACGGCGCAGAGACGGCCGAGGACGACAAAGCAGAGACGTTCGCGGCGATGCGTGGCGAGTGCTCTTCGGCTGCCGCAGCGGCCAGCAGAACCAAAGTCACCACTGGACAGTCGAGGGAAAAGTTGGCGGAGCTGATCAAGGGAATAGTCACAGACACTGCGAGATCGGCCCCGTCGGCCAAGCAAACAGAGACAGCCAGATCGCCAGGAGACGGATGAGAGACTACCGATCCGTGGCCTGAGGGTCGGAAGACGGACGCGGCGGCCAGCTCCAGTGGCGTGATGAACCTGCTCGACGCGCCAGAGGCAGCAAAAAAACGGAATTGGCGCAGCGGCTGGACACAGGCGGGAGACGCCTGAAACTTGCCAGATTACCACTTCGTGGACGAGGTGCTGCAGGTTTGGCGCAGCAAAAACCTCCTGGCGGTGGCGACGGGTGTGAGGTGCGTGGCCAGGGACCGGAGGGACGCTGACGAGATCATCGGGAAGTGCTCGAACGTGACGTGCGGACAGCCGAACACTCGTGAGAGGTCCAGCCGTCGGACGTTAAGGGCGTTCTCGCAAACCACAGTCCGACTCCTCGTAATAAGTGCTACGAGAGTTCTTACCCGCCTTGCGCGCAGCGCTTGAAGGACAAGGGGATTGGGAACAGGCCTGTGGACGCCATCAAGGCGAACCAGCTGGTCAAAGGGGAGTACCTGCGCGACGACCACAAGTATCCAGCATGCATATGCTGCGGGGCGAAGAGGCCGAACCCAGAAGCCAGAGACCTGCGTGTCCAGCACATTTGTGACACGTGCAAGCCGAAGGAGTGCCATAAGTGCGAGCAAGGCATAGTCATGTTGATGAAACGCGACTACGACAAAACGGATAACGGCGGCCTGAAGAATAAGTGCAGGGTTTGCGAGGCTGGAGTGAAGAGAGATGCGCAGCAATGCGTTCGCCGCGGGAAGATACGATCAACTGATGCCTCCGACAGGTACCCAGACAAGCACTTACACGCCAAGTGCAAGAGCTGCGAGGGGCCGGTGTGAGCCAAAGGAGAGCAGAGACGAGACGATGCGCAGACTGCACGGAGGACTTACCGAAGGATGCTTTCGAGAAGGACGGTGACGGGGCGCTGAAATCCGAATGCATGAGCCGCGAGGAGAATAATGAGAAGGATGACGCGGCGAAGGCATGCGAGCGCGCCGCGGTTGCGAAGCAACGTTTCCTCACCAGGTTTCCCGCGTGTACGACGATGGGCACGGCCACCAGGACTGTCAAAAGTGCCAGAGCAGAAAGCAAGGAACCCAAACAGCACCGCGGCTGTCTGTGTCGCGGCAACGAGACCTGCAGTTCATGCGATCGCGCGTGTTTTTTGTTTTCCAGCGCGCTGTGCGATGTGTACTGCATGAGTGGCGAGGGGCCATGCCCGGCGCACTGCCGCGAAATCGGTCGCGCGGCGTTGTTTGCGCCCGTTGCGCGCTTTACTATGAAGTAGCGGCGCGCGGCACTGCCGCGCGAAAAGCGCCCCCGAAATCGACGGCGCTGGAAACGCACGCGGGGCGTGCGCGATGGCCGAGGCTCATTCGACGAACCGTCTCATTTCCCAACGCGCCCTGTACTTCTAACCTTGCACGTCGATTTGCACGAGTGGCGCTGGGCCCGCGCCGAGAGCGAGCGCCGCCAGTTCAGTCGCACGGCGTTGGCGGCACCAGTTGCGTAGCATAGTTAGCGGGAACAAAAGTAGCTGCGCAGGGCCATACCAAACGCAGGACAATACCGAATTCGATGGCGCTGAGGTCTTACATGCGCGCGAGCTGGAGACAATGGACTGCGTTGCTGACGCGGCGAACAGGAAGCCATGTGATGCAATATTTAAAGCCATTCGATGGAGCATGTTTTCCTCGAGCCTTTTGGCCAGGTTTCGGGGGGAATCCTCTGGCGCGACGTCCGCATTCCCCGCTTCGCACAGTTGTCCGGAACCGCTGGTATCACCGCCTCGTGAGAGATTCCTGATTCCAGAACTTATGCGGGGATGACGCATTCCCGCGGTTGGTCTGGAAAGCGTTCGTTTTCTTCTCACTTCCATAGTGGGGTTCGAACAGGAGAACACGCCTTCTTCTCTTTTTAAGTCGAACACTCACTCACTCATTCACTCACACACACACGTCATCGAACACACTCACTCACTCACCCACACACTCACCCACCCACACGCACGCTCACTGACCCACTTACTCACCCACTCACACACTCACACGCTCATCATCACCATGTACTCACGCACTCACCCACTCACCCACTCACTCACCGACTTACCCACCCACTCATTCACTCACTCACACTCATCATCGTCATCATCATCACCAGCACCATCATCACCATCGTCATCACCAGCATCACCATCATCATAATCATCTTCATACACTCACTCACTCATTCACTCACTCACTCATCTCAGGCAGGAGCCCGCATTTCATGTTGGCAATCCGAGCGGATCCGTGGAACCTTGCAATCGTTGTATGTTTGGGCCCTTCAGGTTTGAATTCCGAGGAAGTCTCAGGCAGGAGCCTCGTTTGTGAGTGAATTTCAAGGAAGTCTCAGGTGGGAGCCCCTTCCCTGTGGGGCCCGCACTTTACGTTGGTAGTCCGGCGGGCCATCGAAACACTGCAACCATCGTCGTTGTTTGGCTTCCCCGGTTGAATGTGGTGGAAGTCTCAGGCGGGAGCCTCGTTTGTGAGTGAATTGCGAGGAAGTCTCAGGCGGGAGCCCCCTTCATATGGGGCCTGCTATTCACGTTGGTAATCCGAGCGGGTCATCGGAACAACGCAACCGTTGTCATTCTTCGGCTCTTCTGATTTGAATTTGGAGGAGGTCTCAGGCGGAAGCCTCGTCTGTGAGTGAATTGCGATGAAGTCTTAGGCGGGAGCCCTTCCTTATGGGGCCCGCATTTCACGTCGGTAATCCGAGCGGGTCATCGAAACCCTTGTATTGTCGTAATTTGTGTTGGCTCCTCAGGCTTGAATTCGGGGGAAGTCTCAGGCGGGAGCTTCGCCTGTGAGTGAATTGCGAGGAAGTCTCAGGCGGGAGCCCCCTCCTTATGGGGCCCGCAATTCATATGAGTAGCCCGACCGGGTCGTCGTAGCTTTGCAATTGGCATCATTTCTGGGTTCCTGAATCATGAGCCTTGGGGAAGTATGAGGCGGGAACTTCGTTTTTGAGTGAATTGCGAGTAGCCCCGTCCGATCTGGTCGTCGGCAAATTTGTTATTGTCATGGGCCCGCGTGCCTGAATCATGCTTGGGCCACGCCAGGTCCATTTGGGGATTTCATAGACAGTTGTTTTGGCGTTTCTTGGAAGGTTGTCCCGGGCATCTGGGTTTCGTGGCGTCCTTTTGAGCTTTGTTGGGGGCCGTTCGGGGATTATTGGATTATGTTGGTGACTGCCCGGGTGGATATTGGGAAGTCTTGGTTGCGGATCCAAAACAGGGGTCCCGCGAGTGCAGCTGTCATCAACATTTGCGCGTGCCTCTGGCCGCGCTG